AAATATGTTTTTACTAACAGATGCCATTTTGCGACTACACTGCAATACACTAACTCTTTCTTTATATGAAACACAAGCATTCTTCTCACTTTCCAGACATGCTGCTCTTCTTTTGCTATTGTACAAGAAACTTGCCCTTGAGTGCATACTATTGTGGAAGAATTGATAGGATCATCTATTTTGTGATGAAGAGTCAGACTACATTAGAGAATGTGGTGAATAGCCTAAAAAGTCTACCCCTCGGGAAAGAATAAGAAGGGAGAACTTTCGATACTTATCAAAGGGTTTTGGATAACTGGCAAGCCTGAAGAATCTTTGAAACTGTTAGAGATCACGACACTAGAACAAGTTGTCAAAAGCAAATGACAGAACCTATAATATTCTAGTACAATCAGCGCATAACAAGAACAACGTTTAAAAGGTATGAGGTTTAGTTTATAGAATGGTTGTGACTGGTCTGAAACACGACTTGTCAACACCAGGCTAATGGCGGCTTATGAAAGGAATAAAGAGACAGAGCAGAGCATAAGCAACCATTTTTTAAATGCAAAATGATTAGAAAAAATGGAGTATGCTTTGGTGATGTTTAAAAAGTTCAAGAGTTAATTAAATCATGGGGAGATGTGTGTTTCTCAAAGGAAGAACACATTCGACTTGTTTCAAATGTGTGGTGTTTCACTGTATTGTAATTGACTCCACCGGTGAGTCCTGAAAATATAGAAGGGGAGAAGTACAATTTTGAAAATGTGGGATAGTAAATTGGATAGTTCCAGTAGTAAAAGTGAACCAGGCAAAGAGACAACCTCATTTCAACAAAAAAGAGATAAAGAAAAGAGAAAGATATGAAATCAAGTTTCATGTGAAAAATGATTGAGATGTCATCATATCAATCTCAACATAACAATTTTACTAAAAATAGGATGGATTAAAATATGGGAAGAATAATTCAAATATCCTAAACTTTGGAGTGGTGTAAGCTGAATACCCTAGACATTCATATGTAAAATACACATCATATTATCATAGACTTAACAAACGATCGTAGCACAATAACTGAAAATTATTTCACAAATGAAAGCTTAGAATTCTAAGTGCCGCCTCCTAATGTTTGAAATATTTAAATTGCAGAATTTGTACCGCAAACTAACATTACTGAAAGATATAATGTATATCTATGGTGCTATGATAACATATATCTCAAGGTTCATGATGCTTATATTACACATGCAAGTATGGGGTATTGAGCTCACATCTCTCCAAAGTTTAGAATACTTAAATTATTTTTCCCTTTAAAATATATAGAAAACAATTTTTATTTTTTAAAGAACGTTAATGAGCTTTGTTATGATGAAATAGGGAGTGCAATTTTTAATAAAGAAATGTGCAAAATACAATAGTAAATTACCATTTTTTCCCGGTCCCCGTCAGGCCCTATAGTTCCATAGAAGTGATCTACTTCCACATTTTCCAACTTTTGGGACTCTTTGTTTTTTGCCATGTCCACTAGATATCAAATCATAAAATAAATGTTATTGCTCTATGAATTCGCATCATTCCTTATATACAAAAATTGTCAAGGTATAATAGAGTAAGAGGAACATAATGAAACAAAATTGAGTGATAAATTTCTAAATATATATAAAGTCGATGCCGCATAGCATTTATTCTCCACATTTTTTCTTTCGTCAAAAAGAACGATGCACATGATTAATAAACAAAATAATTAACTACACTTGCTATATCTTTACCATTTCCTTTTATTTTCCCTTTTTAATTTCAATCTGAATATGATAAATATAGTAAAAATTAACAGACAGACAACATACAGGGAAGGGAAAAACAAGACACCACAAACACACAGGGATATGAAAATGTACCATCTGAGGTCGAAATCTTAGCAGGATTTAAAAAGGTTGGTAAGCGAACCTTTCTGTTCGAAAAATTAATCAAAATTTAAACCCGACCTCTGTGATTCTGTGATCTTTCATCAATCGAATGACAGTATTATAGCGATAAAAAGGAGAGATCAAAGAACCTTGTTCAACTTACAAGTATCTTGGTATTCTGAAAAGACTCTCAAGTTGAAGCAGCAGCAATTCTATTAGGGTTAGAATGAGTATGTGATACATTTATAGGCCTATTTGAAGATTCTTAGCAATTGGGTTGAGCCACTACGGTTTTGTATGCAGTATTGGCCCACATTTCATTTTTAAAAATCTAATTGGAAACCACTAACCTGTGATAAATACTTGTCAGAAATAGAGGTAACCATTAAGGCGTATCATTATAAATTTAGTTCCCATTTTTATCTCAGATGTACTTATTTGAACCAATATAGATATAAACAGATGAAAAATAATTCTTCTTCTAAAATAAGATTACACTCGATGGTCAAGAACTCGAGATGTTTTAACATTGATAAATATTTAAGTGCACTTTCCTTTGTAATCTGTGAGAAAAAAACTTATTATGTACCTCACCACGAGTCTAAGGTCAACCTTTCCCTTTCAGATATTTTAAAAAGAATCAAAGATTGTGGCAATTTGATCACTGATAATAAAAAACTATCATGAATGGTCAAAGTTAAGTACAGAGTAAGAGCTTATGAAATGAGTTCAAAAGGTATTTACCTTTTACAAGGTGAGAAGAATTGTATCATAGTTTGCAGACCTGTTTTCCCAGAATCAGAGGCTTCCAGCCTCAGTACATCATTTACACACAAAGAATTGCACAACAAGTTTCGGTTTTGCCTCCATCATATCTAAATAAGAGGAAGTCGCTTTAACAAAGATTTTTTTGTGTAAAATCCCCCCCGCCATCCTTTCCTTAGAAACAAGCCCTTTTCCTTTAGAGATACTTTGACCTTCCAATACTGACCAGAAGGGCCTCTTAGAATTGCTTTGCCTGATAAGCCTTTTTTCCCTTTCTTCATGTACTTGATTGAGTTGAATCCCACTGGGATTGTGGTACACTTCAAAATGAAACTCACAATACAAAGGGGTGAATCAATGAATTATCACATATCAAACATATGAGGATTAGAAAACAGCGTAAGTTTGAACTTATAGTAAACTTTAGATCTTATCAGTTATGACTATCAATGCAAATGAAGCGCCTGGGTGAGCTGGATTCACTTACTGGTACACACTATCACTAATCAGTTCACCTTCAGATTGACTTTACCTAATGTTTAAGATTATATTTGTGAGTTAAGAAACACTCTACTACTTATGAATATTATTGAATCATTTTGGACATACGGTGTGTGGCAAAAGAATGGAAAATAAGGATTTCATAGACGGTATCTGAATGCTTTCTATTGGTTCATGTAGCCAGCACCATTGATTTGGGATTAAGGGATGGTTGCTGCTGATGTAATGTATCAATATTTTGACTTGTTTAGTGGGATAACATGTGCAAGCCTGCAAAATAAGATCTCTTAGCATCTTCAAATTTTCTAACCTGTGTATGCAATCATTTCAGACGGACATACAAAAAATGTTCCACTAACTGATGCCATGTTGCCACTTGCACTACATACAATACACCAAATTTTTCTTCACGTGATATACAAATATCCTTCTATCTTTCCAGCCGTGTTACTCTTATGGGGGAGATTATAGGATCATCTATTTTTTAAGGTATTCTATATTCAGAGTCGAACAGTATTGGAGAATTCGGTGAAGTGGTGGGAAAATATATCATTTGGAAAAAGAATAAGGAGGAGAAGGGGAATTTTAGATACTTTGATCATTGGGTTTTGGATAAGTGGAAGCCAGAAAGATCTCTGAAGCTGTTAGAGATCATGACTAGAACAATCTGTGAAAAGCAAATGACAGAAATTATATATTCTAGTACAATCATGGTGTAATGAGGACAATGTCAAAAAAGTATGAGGCTTATATATAGAATGGTTGCGGCTAGTTCGAGGCCTGACTAGTCACCACCATACCGACAGCTTATGCAAGAACAATAGGATGCAGCAGAGCAGAAGCAATGGTGTTTCAAATGCAAATGACAGAAAAAAGAGTATGCCTTGGGAATTGGGATGTTGAAAAGGATGCAACAAATGAATCCCAATTTGATCACCTTAGAAACCTTAATTTGTGGCCATGGACAAGCAAAACAGACATGAAATTTCAAGTGTTAACTTAATCATGGAGAAATGGGTGTTTCTCCAAGGAAGAACACATTTCCGTTTGTTGCAGATGTGTGATGATTTGCGATTTTCTTTATCAAACGATTCCTGAACTATAGAGGAACTGAGGAAGAGATCAAAACACTGACTTGATGTCCAAAACGGAAGGAAATCCAGAAGATGACCTACAAAGAGTTTATCAAAGGAAAAATGGATGGTTCCTTCTCAGCACTAAAGAAATGATACCACTAACATTATGCAGCTAAACTGAAGACCAATCAATGCCCAACAATATTAATCACTTCCCCTATCAAGGTTTTCAGTTTTGTTTACGAAAGTTGATTAGTGATAAAGTTAACTCTTCTTTGATAATATTTTAATTAGTCATAATAATTAAAATTTACATATTAGAATATGATAGAACATTGTTACATAAAACCAGAGATAAAAGAGAGTTTGATAGGGACCTACCTATTAGTTTAATAATAGAAAGAATAATAATAATAATAACAATAATAATAGTAATAAGGGCTTATGTAGTATTCTGGTATAAATAGACATGTAAGGGGGAGTTAGCGGGGAGGCTGTTTAGACTCATTTGGTCTGGGACTGGGAAGTTGGAGTTTATCTCCTTCTTTGGGACTCTGTACACTGTTCATCTCTGTCAATGAAGTTTGGTTACTTTTGTAAAAAAAAAAAAATACAGCCTCCCCGACCAAATGTAAAAAAAATACAAAAGTAACCAAACTTCATTGACAGAGATGAACAGTGTACAGAGTCCCAAAGAAGGAGATAAACTCCAACTTCCCAGTCCCAGACCAAATGAGTCTAAACAGCCTCCCCGCTAACTCCCCCTTACATGTCTATTTATACCAGAATACTACATAAGCCCTTATTACTATTATTATTATTGTTATTATTATTATTATTATTATTATTCTTTCTATTATTAAACTAATAGGTAGGTCCCTATCAGAGTTAAAGTGACTACAAGATTGGTGTTTGGAAACCTTCACGTTGGGACAGAGACTGTATTAGGTTCATTCTTAAAGAACAAAAAAATCACTTTCTTTTTGTGTGTATTAACTAAGGTTTGAGAAAACCATGTAGAACAAAACCATACTCCTACACCCCAATTTCTGAATCTCAATAGCTTTCTTGCACGGATGTTAGGAATACTAATAATATGTGATAATCTTTCCAAAGATTACTCTAAGTTTGGTAACCTTTAAATAATAATACCTGCGTCCCTCTAAGTTTGGGACAAAGGGGCGTGGTGTGGTTTTTAAGAAAAAGTGGAATTGTGTGATTGGTATTGAGTTGATAAGGTGTGAATAAAGTAAGAATGAATTCTAACCACTCAAATATTACCAAATATGATATGAGACAACTTAATGGGACGGAGGAAAAAAGTAAAACAGGACAAAGTTAGGGGGACGGAGGGAGTATTGTGCAACAATGATCACATCAAAAGATGGTAACCTTTATAGATGAGCAATATAGGGAGTCATTAAATATGTAAATTCTAGGGAGATATTCATATATGGTACACATTCATCAGATGATGATCACATATCTCACTTTCAATTATACAATGAATGTCACAAGATGTGTCTCCCTAATCCCTACATTTTACAAATTTAATGTCCCCCGTGGCCCCGAAAATTACTCATTGTGCAAACAGGTCAGCATGTCAGATCATAAATTGGAATTTGGAAAAGATAACAAATTAGTGCAGTTAAAAAAAGTAGAATATCTACAAAATAGCATTAAATAAACATAGGTATTTATTGTAGCCTTGAATACAACTGGGCTCTAAAAAATAAACAAAGTCCAAATACAAATAATTAATAATAATAGTATTATAGTATTATACAAAAAACAAAATTTATGAACACGTCTCACAAGGTCGTCAAAGGAAAAAGGACACTCAAGGCGCAAACAAGCGAGACAACACCATTTTAAAAACTTCTAACTTAAGATGTCAGATGGTACTGAGATCATCAATATCTACATCTGAAAGCATGAACTTGAACCCCAAAGAAATGACAGTCATTAACATTATTGAGTTAAAGTGAATGCCAATCTACGACCAACAATCTTATGTGGTAGGTTACAATGTTACATTCTTAAGTAGATTAATACTACCTCCGTCCCCCTATTATTGTCCCATTGCGGTTTACGATGCTTGACTAACGATAAAGCAAACAGATCCCTGTCCGCACTAGAATTATTTTTAGAAAAAAAATTGCATATTCAGAAACTACATTAAAAGTTTTACAAAGTCGCAAAAACCAGAATCAAATTTGATAAAAATTTGATAAATAAAGTAAGAGATTAAGAGTGATTTGTGTTGACCAAGTGAATAGGAAATGAGACAATAATAGGGGGACGGAGGGAGTACAGCATAATTGAGGTTAACAATTTCAAAAAAAAATCCTAAGTAGAAATGAAATATACACCCTCCAATTAAACTTAGAAGTCTCAATTGCACGGATATTAAAGAAACAGATTGCATGTGAACAACATTCCAATTTCACCAATTAAATTGGCGAAATTCATAAGAATAATGCATACTTTCAGGGGTTCTACAATAATAATCCATAATGAGAGTGTTCATAAAAATAATCTGAACTAGCAATGGTGTCCACAAGAATAGATTGGAGTGAATTCAAACTAATGCCCATTTAATATTTCCAACCCCTACTCCCACATTTTCCTTCACCGCTCTTCTTCTCCGGGTGAACTCAAACTAAAACCCATTTAAAACCCATTTACGTATTAAATGGGTATTAGTTTAAATTTACTCCAATTTATCATTGTAGACACGATTGCTAGTTCGGATTATTTTTATTAACACTCTCGGTAAGGATTATTATTGTAGAATTCCTAAAAGTAGGGTTTATTCCTATGAATTTCGCCTATTAAAATTGTGCATTCAGGGGAGACATTATTATGTGGCACACATTCATTAGGTAATGGTCACATGTCTAACTTTTCATCATTCAATGTATGTGCACCATAGAAGAATGTCTACCTAGAATTTACAAACCTAATGTCAGCCAGCATTACTCATTGTGCAAATAGGTCAATATGTACCTCACCGCTTTTTCTTGCTACAATTCTGGTGATTTTTTTTTCATAAAAGACATTCTAAGTGACTTGTTTATCCACAGCTGAGCGCAGTCACTTTTATGAATTTGAGCTTCAACTTGGTAATTTATTGACTTTCGTCTAGATACAATACATTTAGCTACAGAGAGTCGGACATTGTGTCATCCATAGATAACAACCTGAATAGCACATGTTTATACACTTCACAATACAAATATAGAGTTTAAATCAAGTGATTGGCTGTCTGAGTTGCATCAACAGTGTCTTGGGTACGCTATGTGTGTACTGAAGATTCCATAGAAGCACACTGGACAATATAGATAACTAAACTATTGTCTTCAGGAACGAAACTTAGAAGAATCTAAATATTACTGCAAGATCTATTTTAGCATGTACAGATGACAATTGGGCTTGTGTTTAACAAAATTGTTTGAAAAGCATTAACAGAAATTTAATTTAATAGCATAATGTTGAAAGAATGCAGAGGAAATCATAAAAAAAAAATGTTCATTAAGTAAAATCTGCAGAGCTAACATTAAAACTAGGAAATATTCTGGAGGGTAAAAAACTGTAGTAAATTGCAACTCAGCCACAAAGCACAAACAAATTCAATAAACCTCAAAAGAGATTGGTTTGTGTAGCAGGACTAAAGCTTATGGGCCTAATTATATCAATATATCCCCTTTAGATGCAAATTCTGAGTAGGGTGAAATGCTTCTAAATTAAGAGTATGTATATTGCACTTCTCTCCCCATAATGCTACAAACAAAATCACTCCATTTAATGCATCTCATCAAATCAAGTAAAACTTCTCTGGCACTTGATTTCCTCAAATCAACTTTCTTCCATTAAGTCAGCAGCAATGAATGTAACGAAGACAATGTTACCACTAGCTACTTACTTTCTAGTGGTCTATCCAGAATCATCACCCCATCAACATAATCGCCTTAGAACAGTAGGAATGGTAGGTAATGCTAGTGCTAATGGACTTTGATTTAAAAAAACTAAGTGAGCAGTTCATAATAATTTACGTAATTACAACTCGAGAGACACTTCTCTTTGATTTTGTTCTTTAACAGTGAGGCAAAGGTCATGGGGCTTATTGTTCACCACTCCTTTAGTGTGTTGTTTGTCTCAACAACCAATCCTTGACTCAATGGATTAGGTTAGCATTTATATATGACTGAGGTTTAACTTTTCCACAACACATCCTAACACATGTTTGGATCAAGGAATTTGAGGGGATTAAACAAAAAGCTCCCTTTAGTCGCACACTTGACTTACTATAGTGTTCAGAATAAGTTACAAGGTCATACTCCTGCCTGTAGATGAGCTTTCGCTAAAGTGATTTGGACCTGCGCATTATTTATCAATCTATGCACCTAAAGTGATGGAGAATTTGATTGATACAAGAATTCATGAAAGCAATGAATAAAGTTTGGCTTTACCATTTCCCCTATCTCCCATAAAGTAAAGGCATCTAAGTAAATGGAAAAAGGGTAAACGTAAAGGTAAGTCTGTCAGTTCAATCATATTTGCATACCTAAAGTAACAACAACAACAACAACATCCAAGCCTTAGTCCCAAAAAATTTTGGGGTCGGCTAACATGAATCGATCATATTCCAATTCATGTCATGTGATGTGACAAGGTGATATTGTTCGCCATCACGCACTTACCACAACACCCTCCTTTATCCTGGCTTGGGATAGGCATGATACTAAAAATGATCTCATGGCAAAGTTTGCATACCTAAAGTAAAAAGTGGAAACAATTTTGGGACAATCAAGATAGGAAATTTTGCAAATCAAATTGGGGCGGATGGATTAATAAATAGAGAGATGCTTTGACAGAAGTGAGGTAGGTCATTTACTTTGTTTAACAACTTGTGAGCTTGTCCACTTGTTAAGTTGTAATCAACCACAAAAGATATGTTACTTCTATGAATATACATCATTCCTTATGATAAAATATTGTGAACAACATATGATAGATACCGCTACATAACTTATATGGAGGATGGAAAGTTATGAAACCAGACCAACCATTAAGGTAAGATTTTAAATATGTATATATACATAGACACACATAAATATAGCGGGTATCATCCTCCCCATATCCGTGTCATTTTCAAAGAATTTAAAAAATTTCATTTCCCGTAACTAGGTATGTGTGTCGTAGTTTGCAATGAATTTAAACACTCTCTCTTGTGACTGTTCATGTAGAAGCATGAAATTAAACTAGCTTTAACCCAGGTAGTTCAAGGATGGTCCATAGTTTTGAAGCGAGGGAAAACAGTTTTGAATCGGCTCATATAGAAAAAAATGGTAAAATAAATAAAAAAAATTAAGAACGATCAACAACAATTAATGTATACCTACCCATTTCCTTTATTCTATCTTTCTATTTTCCAACTAAATACGATAAAGATGGTAAAAAGAGATACCAAACATGGAAGGTAAAAAATATAACATAAATAATTACATATGTATATGTATATATGAAAAAATACCATCGAAGGACTAAATCTTTCACAAGATTAAAGAATCCTGATAAATGATCCTTTTTGTTCTAAAATTTAATCATAATTAAAACCAGACGGTCCAGACCACTATGATTCTGTCATCTCTCATCAATGGCATGACCTTAAATCTAGCAAAATTGCAAAAAAAATAGAGATCAAAGGAACCCTGTTCTACTTACGAGTACTTTGGTAAAAAATATATCTCTGTAGGTGTAGCTGCACTAACTCAACTAGGGTTAGAATGAGCAAGTGATTTATTTAGTGGCCAATTAGAAGAATCTTAGTATCTTACCAACTGGGTTGGGTACTTGGGCCACCAAGGATTTGCCAGTAGCCCAGTAACATTGGCCCATATTTCATTATCAAAACAACATACTTGAAAACCACTGGCCAGTGATCAAAATAACTGGAACAGTGATAAACATTGCAGCAGTGTATCCCCATGGGCAATATTGGCCTGTATATCAGTATTGCGAAAAGAAAAAACAATTTATGAATGTGTGATAAATATTACTGTTAATGACATTAGAAATTACCATTCCATTCATACAATAATTGATAAAATTGGATTATTTAATTCTTTTGAGATAACTACTGATCATTTTCAATAAGATGTTATAGCATTTATAGCACTTCGACTCAAAATGTTACAAACTAGGGATTCAATGGTAGGGAATAATTTAAGAGGCAAATAATAGTTTTTATTGACTCTCAAATAGCTTGAAGAAGTTTATTGAGTTCCTCTTTTAGGTAACTTTTTGTTATCAGTACTTGTTTATAAATGGACACCAAACCCCCTTATATAGATAGGCTTTAAAAATACTTCCCAAACTACGATTGAGGGGACTAAATAACCAGTAAATAATTTAGCGAAAATATTGAACTGCAAAACTATTCCCAATATGCAAACTGAGTGACTGAATAACTAAAAACTAAAAAAGGTAAACTGATAAATAGTTTAATGCAATGTCACTAATGCCACAAACACATATCATCACACCCATCAATGACATCAAAGTTGCCCTCAAGCTTGAAAACAAGAACATGATTGTAGTGGCACCTACCTTGTATGCCTCAAAGTGTTTGGCATATTGTTACCACAATCAGCAAAAGAAAAAGCTATAAACATTCGCATAACTCTGCCACAAAAAAGGCAGATGTAGATTCATGTGGAATGTCTGATAGAAGGTAGGTGTGTTTGGCTACAGCTATCAATACAAAACGAGACAGTGGATGTTGTAACGGGGTAAACCGTTGCCCAGATAATTTTTCATTTTCATTTTCATTTACCCTAGTGCCGCAAAGGACCTACGGTGGGGTAAGGGGGTCGGATGTACGCAGTCTTACCCTTATACTAAAGCACAAAGAGACTGTTTCCGGATGACCCATAGTGAAAATCCCGTCCAAAATTGCATGGATTGACTGCTGCTTCATAACAAAGAAGCGCATACAGTTTAGTGAGCCATTTTGCTTTATTCCATCATAATCTCAAGCCAAAAAAATAATGAATCTTTGGCTCCATTGCAAATGATGGAAATGTTGCCCAGATAATCAACGATAAAAATACCGTTGCCCAGAGCCAAAAGGCTAAAACAAATTTTATTCCAAGGTAATAAGAATGAACCCTGGCGAGGGGTATAAATAACCTTCTACAAGAAACCTTAATCAAGCTCAAATTAATTAATTAAACACTAATTAAGCCCAAATTAACTTAACTCACTACTCTACTAATAATAGGCCCAAACTAAAACATAACATTAACTTAATAATAATAATTAACTATAAAGACAGCCCTAACCCGGCCCACGGAAGTGGGCCCAAGCCCGGTCCCGCCCCATGCTCTTCCCGCTCTCTATCAATCCATCCTCCAAAATAACCTTGTCCTCAAGGTTGAAATCTCACAGACGGGGAGCTGAAATTCCCGGCCATAGAATAGACTGGAAAATATCCTTCCTCTCTTTCCTGAACCCTTTCCTGGCCGGTTATTTCACAGTACTCATGTTGAACTCATGTTGTCGGAGGTCCAACTCTTCATCCTCCTCGGCTATCATTACCCGCAGTTGCTTAAAGGGACAATCATGCCGCGGTGTAAATGGTTTCTTACATCTAAAGCATAATTCTTTTGCGCTCAATTCTGCGAACTCCTTTGGCGGAAGACGAGTGAACTGAGAGCGTGTCGTAGGCTGCCCGGACAGCCTTGACTTCGTCCCCGGAGGCTGTCCACTATCCTTCGGGAAGTGGCCACTTGATCCCTGTAGGCTGCTGCCACCGGCAGTCAACGGAGGACTTGTGTTTGGAATCGAAAAGCTGCTGGAACGTACCCCTGAAGGCTTATAATTCGGGCTGCCACTTCCTCCACTCTGGACGGACAGATTGTACTCCACATCGCGAGCTAATTCCATGGCCTCTTCCAAATTATTCGGTCGAAATAAGCGCAACGAGTTTCGAATTGCTTCCTCAGGTCCACTCATGTAGTAGCCCAAATAATGAGCATCAGTCAATCCAGGAACTTGGCTCGTCAGTTGAACAAACAAGGTATTGTATTCCTCTACTGATCCAATCTGCTTGACGCCGGAAAGCCTTTCGAATTTGTTCCCTTGGAATCGGGAATCGAATCTGGCCACCAGGACTTGCTTGAATTCTTCCCAGGTCATGCCCGGTTTGCATGCTTTCAGCCAGGTTACCCAGTAGAGGGCCCCTCCTTCCATGGCCACCACAGCGGCGGCCACCTTTTTGTCTGGTAGGGTTCCGTTTAATTCAAATTGTCGTTCGACACGAGCTATCCACCCGATTGGGTCCTCTCTGTCAAACGTGGGTAGCAAGGTGTGGCTGGTGATGCGCGTCAGGTTGTCGGCGATGGGTGCTGTCACGGCAGCACTTATGACTGCAGCAGTGGAAATTTCCGGCGAGATCGGCGGCACAAGGGCCTGGGTTAGCGCCGCCAGAGAGGCGGCGATTTCAGCCAGCCGCATGCCGTGTTCTTCGAGGGTGTGATTCATCCGATTCTGCTCAACCGCCATTCGGGCTTGCTCCTCTCCCAGTCGGTGTTGCTCGGTCTCTAACTCGGTCAATCGGTCGTTTTGAGATCTTGTCATCCTGGCGGGACGGGATCCGACAGGTCGGACCAATTGTTGTGTAACAGAAAAATAAAATCAACGGGGTAAACCGTTGCAAAGATAATCAACGATAAAAATACAGTTGCCCAGAGCCAAAAGGCTAAAACAAATTTTATTCCAAGGTAATAAAAATGAACCCTGGCGAGGGGTATAAATAGCCTTCTACAAGAAACCTTAATCAAGCCCAAATTAATTAAACCCTAATTAAGCCCAAATTAACTTAACTCACTACTCTACTAATAATAGGCCCAAACTAAAACATAACATTAACTTAATAATAATTAACTATAAAGACAGCCCTAACCCGGCCCACGGAAGTGGGCCCGACGGGCGCCCCATGCTCTTCCCGCTCTCTATCAGTGGAGGAGTTGACAGTGGTGGATTTGCAGGTAACTGAGGTTGAGGATTAGTATTCGTGGTGAGTGCATCAGATGGCATGGTGCTGTGTGGTTTTGATGTGGGACAAGCTTGTGTGGGGCTCATTAGAAAGGTGTGTTTGGAAGAACAAATTGAAACTGAAGTCTATTATATTTAGGGACTATTGTCTGGACTCTGATGAAATTCGTTGAAACTGAAATGCTAACTAAAATAACGACTGCTAAATGTAAAATTACCATAAAAATAATAAATATTTTATAGGAATAAGATAAAATTTCACTGATGGGATAGTAAAGTTGACATAAGCTTACAGTAAACTAAATGGTGAACTAAAACGCTAAAATTAGTAACGATTTAGAATAGCTGATTAATTTTAGACCCAACCAACTTCAGCTTTTCATCCAAACAAGGCTGCATGTGTGTTAATTGTCTAAATTGATCAAACTTAAACTCATTTTAACCTGAAATATCGTGAAAACATAGACAACGTTATTCTAATAACTTTTAAGTCTTGTTGTTCCTTTTATATCTCTTGAGCGCGTGTTGGTCATCGTAGGAGCTTAAAATAATCCATGATGTCAACAATGCAACCACAATTTTAGGAAGGGGAAAGATTTAGAGTAATTTGAGATCATCATATCCCGAAATTATTTTTCTCAATGAAAGTTTATTGTTTGAGATCAAATTTTCTTATACAATATATAGGCGCCATTTACAAGGCTTTAAAAACAAACTAGATAACTAAATAACCAAGAACCGATCTAGGTAAACTTAATAGATTGCCTCTTCTTAACTACAAACTGTGTAACTAACTGACCAATGACTACATAGAGCAAACTTATTATGAGCTTAACTATTATGTCGCTAATTAATAGTTTTGCCTTGCAGCAACTGACACATACCAATGCCTGCTACGATAATATGTAATATTTTCTCCACAAAAGAACTCTGGATTTTTTACACTATTACTGATATTTAGAGTATTTACTGTTTTAGTTAAAGTCGGTAAAATTACACTGTTGTATAGAGACGTTCACAAGGATCTGCATCATCATGGATATGTATGAGGATTGTACTACAAGTGTCCGTACTAGTGTAGGGAGGACCGAAGAGTTCCCTATTACTATCGAAGTGCACCAAGGATCGGCTCTAAGCCCTTTCTTATTTGACATAGTCATGGATGAACTTACGAAGTCAATTCAAGACGATATACCATGGTGCATGATGTTTGCTGACGATATTGTATTGATTGATGAGACGCAATCAAGTCTTAAAACAAAGTTGAAAGTATGGCGACAAACATTGGAGAACATGGGTTTCAGGCTAAGTCGGAGCAAGATAGAGTACATGGAGTGCAAGTTTGGTGGAGGTAGAAGCGGTGGTAATAGCGGAATGAATTACTCCAGATGGTAAGAAGATACCGGTCAGCGATATGTTCCGTTACTTAATCTCCATAATTCAGAAGGATGGTGAGTTAGATGGAGATGTATCCCATAAAATCAGAACAGGGTGGATGAAGTGGAAGAGTGCGTCAGGATTTCTATGTGATCGAGGTATGCCGACTAGACTGAAGGGTAAATTTTATAGGACAACAATTAGGCCTGCATTACTGTATCGCGTAGAGTGTTGGGCGCTGAAACAATGCCACATTTAAAAGATGAGTGTGACATAGATGCGCATGCTGCGTTGGATGTGTGGGCATACTAGGAAGGACCGCGTGAGGAATGAGACAATCAGACAAAGGGTGGAAGTAGCACCTATTGAAGACAAGATGCGGGAGTCGCGCCTACGATGGTTTGGTCATGTGCGTAGAAGACCGAGTGATGCACCTGTCAGACGAGTTGAGATGTGTAGAGAAGAGGCAGGGAAGAGAGGGAGAGGGAAGCTCAAACAGACAAGGGTTAGGAGAGTCCAAAGTGATATGCTTCTTCTTGGGTTGGATGAGGGTATGGCTTTGGAGAGAGCAAAGTGGAGGGCGGGTATTCGTGTGGAGGAGTGATCTCGTATCATCTTTTCCCCTCATCATTTTTTTCTTTGTTTTTTTATCCTTATATATATAAACATTATTTATATCCTTTTTATTTTATCATTTTTATGTATATTCATCTCTTTTTATATTATCTTTTTATATTAGCTTATCTTTTTTATCTTTATTTTCTTTCTTTTCCTTTTGGTGGTGATATCATGTATCGATTCATGTTAGCTGACCTCAATATCTTTTGAGACTAAGGCTTGGATGTTGTTGTAGTTAAAGTCGGTAAAATTATGAAATTAGATATTCCGTTGAGGAGATTGTCGTAAATGCTCTAATGCCTCCAAACTCAATAATACAAAACTGTAAAACTAGGTAAAAGCTATGTTGTTAAATGGCAATGGTAGTGAACATAAGGAGTATCATTTTATATGTTGAATAAACTCAATTTCTTTGTTTTCAGGACAAAGAAAGATACATTGTGTGAAGAGAAGGACATTGGACATGAACCAAATCCCCTTTGTACATCAATATGTGATTAAAGAAAGGAAAAGAAAGGGAATTAAGAGGGATCCTTCCCTTGTCATTTTGACAAGAGACCGCTCCCAAGACTTGAAGCCATGACCTCTAGGTCTCACAACAACATCATAACCGGTGCGCCACGGCTTTCCTTCCTGGATGTGATTACATTTAAGAAAAAACGTGAGTGCAAACTAAAGTATGCCCTAGCCCACAGCGTAGAAAGTGAAAATGTAGCTATGGAAATTAGAACATGAGTATCAATGTTGGGATCCTACCTTTAATGAGTCTTTCATTCTTGAAATGTCACCTTTGGAAAAGAAATGCATTTCCAACTTTGTCCCGCTCTTAAGTTATCCTTTGTCGGTGAATAAACATTGTTTGCTTTTATTGTACACGCCTTTTGTTTTAGATAAGTTTGTTTTAAATGTGTTTTCTTCATGGAAGTGAAGAAAACAGCTATTTGGTAGACTATATTGTACTTCTTAGTTAACAATCTATCTCATCATTAAATCAGAACTATCTCTTTTTTGTGAGTAGATGCTAACTAAGAGTAGTAAAAAATGATAGTCCCTCTATCATTTTCCATCTATTATAGAAGGCAATATTTCATTAGTAACTTACCCATCTCCTAGAATGTTCTGTTTTTACTACCTATATTTATGTCATTGCCTGCACATAGACTTCTGAGAACAATCCATTTGAATTCTATTGACCTTAGGTGTCTCTTAGTGGTTTAGTAGAATATAACACTACAAAATAATAACCATCTATGGCAGAGTGAACTCCAAGTGGCCTTCTAATATACTCCCATAGCATTGAACCTAAGGTGGGAACCTTTGCATCACTGAGGTAATGATGATGAATGGATGAATGAAGAGCCTCGAATCTAAGAACCCAGGCATATATCCATCCTATTGCCTAAAGTTTGAATAAGTTATGGTCTTAAAACTGCAATGGAAGGCGAATTGATAACTTTGGTAATGCTCAGTGTTCTAAAAAACATAGGCAGTCCCAAGAGGGTAAAGTAGGGTCTAGCGCTTATGCTAGACTAGACGGGACCAAAGGAGCCTAGGTTGGACCCAAATCCAGAAAAAAAAAATCATAGGCAATCGGGGGAGGACTAGCACCTAGGCGGAGCTTGACAGTGATTCTTAGAAAACAGGATACAAGATACAAGATACTTTTTAGGAAAAATTGAGATCCCACCTTTCTCAAAAAAGTGCTGTATAATCTGAAAATGATAGTTTTACACACAACATAATCTTAAAATAATTTGACCTTAACACACAATATCTGCTTTGGCTGCTCCCTTGTCGGGGTATACTTCGTTTTCGTTTTTTCTTTCCTTTTAGTTGAAGCCCAGTTATCAACCGACAACCTTCTCAGCTCAGGTAAGTATTCCCAAATATCAAGATGGTGTGGACCGCTACTATCATCACCCAAACCGCCATAAGACCTCCAAATGCTGGGCCAGAAACGTTCGCCATAGGCGCCACGATCTCGGCTCCTACCCTATTAGTGTATTACTAGCCCGTGAACCTGATGCCGTAGTTTGAGATCCTCCCACCAAGACGAAGAGCTTGCATATCCTGATATCCTTGGCGGAGCGGAGCGCCTTCTCTGGGACCTGTAGGAAGATGGTGCATCACGTCAAGCTTTTTGCATCGGTTTCGTTTTGTTAATCTACTTGAGGCTTTTGGGGGGAAAAATTAGGACGAATTTTTTATCTTGAAAATCAAAACGTTTTTCTAAAATGGAGTGAGACACGAGATTTTTGTAAAATGTTCAATCCCTTATTACTCATGTGTAGGGTTGTAAATGAATTTGTGATTCGAATTCGGAAAATTCAAATATTAAATTTGATTCGAGTTGTTATCAAATACAAATAAGAATGTCAGTGTATTCGATTCGAATTATTAATCAAATATATTTGATTATTAATAATGGTAATATTGATATCAATATTAATAATAATAGTAATAAAACTATAATAACTTTTAAAAGATAACAATACCCTCAAAGTGTAGTCCATATATACACTTTTCATACAGATTCCAAGCCCATTTATAATAAGTCAGAATATAAATACGAATACAAATCAATTTTTTGGTTCAAATGTCTTTCAAATACAATAGAAACAATTATGTATTCGATTTGAAGAATAAAATTAGAGTTGTTTAACTTTGATATATACAATTATCAACTTATTTCACACATTATAAGTATAATAATTTCTAATATGTGTGTGTTAGTGTTTATTTCAAAAAAATTGAAATAGATTTATATTTATTATTCATAAAATTAATTCACATTAGTATATCGTGTACCATCTAAAAATGCATTAATCCATTAATTTAAATTCTAAAAACACATATTAAGTCGTAGCATGCATTTACAACATAAAAAATACGGAGTATAAGAAAAGTTATTTTAGAGTGATATTTGACTAATATTTAACCTATGCTCAAATCGATTCGATATCCGTATATGATTCGTTAACTATTCGTATTATTAAACAAATACAAATACAAATCGAAATTAATATCCGTTTCATATTTGAATTCGAATTCGTGTTCGAAAAAATTAAACAAATACAAATACAAAATCTCATTATTCGACTCGATTTGGTTCGTTTACAACCCTACTCATGTGGATCCGATATGGTTCTCTCTCTAGGGTTACCCACCGGTGACGCCTAGGTATTTCTGCCGCCGCCGGTAGGTCTGCGTGCAGCGAGAGCTTCCTTCCGAGTTTCGTTTGCGGAACGTCGGGCACAAGTTGGAGGGTAGGCTAGTTTTTGTTCGAGTTTCTTTCGATCGATTGCAGGAAAACAAGTTGGGAGGAGTTCGGACAACGTGAGTATCGAGAGTAAGAAAGGGAAGAACCGAGTGCATGGAAAGCGTGGTGGACGAATACAGAAGGATGGCTCTGACAGAAGAGGAGGATGATCTGGACTTGGATGATACGGAGGAGGGAGAGGAGCCGAAGGAGGAATGCAAGTCGGGATTCCCGGTGGTTGGAGTGCTGATGACAGACCGTAAGATCCCTTTTCCGGCGATCAAAGAGGTGATGGTGTCGCTTTGGAGACCCGGAAAGGCCTGTCAGTAAAGGAAGTTGGGGAGAAAATGTATCTTTTTACTTTTTAACATCGTTTAGATATGAACCGGGTTTTGGATGGTGGACCGTGGCAATTTGAGAAAAATGTACTATTGTTAAAAGAGGTCAAGCCTGATGATATCCCTCACAAAATTGTTCTGAATGAGGCAGATTTTTGGGTTCAGGCTCATAATGTGCCGTATAGTCTGGTCAATTTAGGTACGGCTAGGAAAATTGGTAATTTGATAGGCAGGTTTATAAAATATGATGATAGAATAGTGATAAGTGAAAGGCCTATATGAGAATTCGTGTTTGTATGAATGTGGAGAAAGTTCCGAAAAGGGGTATAAACCTGAAAAAGGATGGCAAAAGTTATTGGGTAGATTTCAAGTATGAGAAGTTGCCAAACTTCTTCTTTATTTGTGGACTAATAGGACATTCTGACAAATTCTGTCACTTGATCTATGAAGAAGATCTAGTGATGGAGAAAAGTATGGAGTTCACATGTGAGCAGGTAGTGGGGGGAGACGAGTCCTACAAGAGGTAACCAATGGTTACAGGAGGGTTCATCGAGCTCTGGCAGGGACCATAGGTATGGGGAAGGAACTAGTTCGGGAATTAGGATGAGGAATGGGAGGAAGGACTTGGGGGCGGACTTAGAACAGAGTATAACATGAAAGAGAACAAGGGAAGATATTATGGATGAAGCATCAGGAGAACAGAAGCGCAGGAGGCTCTGGGAAGCACAGGGGAATGAAATGCAAGAGAAGGAAAGTATGGCACTAGATGGGGCAAAAAACGAGGAGGATGCGGGCTTCGAGCAGTAAGCCCACCTAGAGAGGTTCAGAGTGGGAAGAAAGGATTCTTGATGAAGTTGTATCGGGAGGAAGTTTACCTTATTTTATTTTAGCTTTTATTATTTCTCAGACTTTTCAGCTTGTTTTTTTATTTAGCTTAGCTGTTGTTTTTCATGATTGTAAGACATTGGATTTGGATGTGGGTGACTGTGGAATTGGGGTAATCGTTTATGGCTCATGTGTGCCCATTAATGGATGAGTGAGTTATATTGCTTCTGGTGAGGTGATTAACTCTGAGTCTGGTTCGCGGGATAGCGGTTGTCAGGATTCTATTTGTCGGATTACCCATGGTCTGAATGTTGGGATTTCGATTAAAGCCAAATTCTTCCAAAATAAAATGGAGTGAGACAGGATCTAGATTGGCCTCCCCCATATCCGTCCATACCCACTTGTTTGATGTTTCCTTGCATGTGCCCTATGACCGTGTGATTTCGAGTTTGGGGTTGCTTCATGCACACCCTCAATGGCTTAATGTAATCATGACCAGACAAATTTGGCCTTTTTAATTATTAGTTAAAATTAAGTATAATTAAAAAGTTAATTAAAATTGCTTTGCGCACCCTCCACAGCTCCACGCCTGACCCTTCTACCAAATGACGACGACCAGACAGAACCTCCTATAAAAGGAGTGATTTGCCTTTTTCGATTATTTCGAGGGTTTATTTGCACATTTTCCCTAAAAAATATATCAAAGTAAATCATTTTTGTCGATCTTTCATATGACACTAATATTACACATATAAATTTTAAAAAATCTGATATGATTTGTTTAATTTTGATCTACATGGCTGGTGGATGTGCACTTTTTCAGTTAGTTCGATGACTTATTTGCACCTTTTCCCTAAAAAATATATCAAAGTAAAGCATTTTTATCGATCTTTCATATGACACTAATATTACACACATAAATTTAAAAAATATATATGATTTGTTTAATTTTGATATACATGGCTGGTGGATGTGAATTTTACTACTCCGTATTGTTTACTCTGATATGATTTGATCTAATCTATTTTTTAATTCTAATCTTATCTTTTTGCTTTTTCTATATTTACTATACTGTCGTCCCCTTTCACATTATTAATACAAAAGGGTGATGCCATTATCCAAGAAAAGTGATTTTTTATGTTGGTATTGAATTGATAAAGTGAAAATAAAATAAGATTGATTTTGAACCACACAATATTATCAAATTTGATATGAGATAATCTTGGTGAAATGGATCAAATGAAAAGATGAGATCATTTTAGCGTGACAGAGAAATACTTGTTTAATATCTCCTATGTTCCTTTGTTGCAACGTTTTCGTTTTAACGGTTGTCAATACACAACTTTGATCAATAATATATTTCATTTCCTATTAGTAAAAAATTTGAAAGATTAGTTTTTAATATTTATAGTGAGAAGAATTTAACATTATTTCTCAAAAATTTAAGTTCTAATACATGAATAAATAAAATATAGTCAATGTAAAACATTTGTATAGTTTAAAATTCAACATGTTACAATTATTTAAAAAACAGAGATAGCAATAAATAGGATTATTAAATTTTCAAATTGGGTTAATTGTATGGTACAAAAAATTAAGATTGCTAATATAAAATGATTTATTTTAGTGAAATTGATTCCATGCCCACGTAATTTAACAAAAAGGAAAAAGAAAAATACAGAGGAGCATATATACTTATATACTCCGTAGTATATATGCCAAGGGAAAAAAAGAAAACTATGAGTGCGCTAGCTACGTAAGTTTCTTGAAGCAAGAGGACAGATCTGTCCAATACCAGGTAAAAAGAGGTGCGCCTAGTAACTTCGAAGGTGTGCGAAGGAGGTCTGTTTCGAGTTTCAGATCTGCAGTGGCAACAGTATAGGCCGCCTCTCGTAATTGCAAGTTTTAATAAAAAGTAGGTTAAGGGTTAAGCTAGGTTATGCCTAAATTAGTGTTTGGGAATAAATAAAGTGAAATTAGGTTAATGTAATAAATGATGTTTTGGATGAAGATACTCTAGCTCATTTGATGCTGAACGAGAATTTAACCATCAAAACTCTCATTTCAGAAGTTCTTCGGGAGAGGTTTTGGGTCGGGTGATTGCAGCTGGCGGTGTGCGGATTCTGTTTTCCTAGGTTACAGACTTACAGCTTGACGATCGCGCACCAGCTTCTGGTTCGAGCGGTGGAAGACGACGCTTCAGAGGTTTGCGGGTGCGAATTCTTTCAGCCGCTGGCACGGCTGATTTCTTTCGAGGAAAGATATTGTTAACCAATACAAACATATGGCGCTAGGCGAGGACAATGAGGAACTGATTTTTGAAGATGAAGAAGGAGGGGAAGCGTAGTCGGCGGGGAGAAGGCGTCGTTTCCGATGGAGGGGATGATTCTCACGAATCGAAAAATCAAATTCTAGATTTTCAAGGAGCTTATGGCATCTCTATGGAGACCGTTTAAAGGTGTATCAATGAAGGAAATCGGAGAAAAGAGGCATATCTTTACGTTTTATCATAATTTGGATATGAGACATGTTTTGGATGAAGGACCATGGTTGTTTAAGAGAAACATGTTGATTCTTGAAGAGATTAGGCCTCAGGATATTCCGTTAAAAATTTGTCTGAATGAGGCAGTGTTTTGGGTACAGGTTCATAATGTTACTTATGGTTTTATGAATCTAGGATCAACTAGGAGAATTGGTAACTATATTGCGAAATTTATTGGTTTTTATGAAAGCCAATTCGAGGAAAAGTGGGAAGCTTATATGTGGATTAGGGTATCTATGGACATAAGGAAACCCCTGAAAAAAGGGACAACTTTGA